GAATTCAGGGTGCTTACGATAATCTAAGAAAATATGACAGTATTAGCTTTTTGTTATTTTCGTAATATTATATTGATTATATTACAATAATACATCATTATACATGTTATCCTTTTTTTATGAATGCGTAGTGCGTAACATCTCATTATAATCCGGCAATTTAGTCCGGTTTATAAAGCATTAAAAAGATATTTCAAGTCAAATAATATGATGCAATATTTCTAATTATTTTTGTTACGAACCAAACGTAAACAAACATCGGTTATCTCTTCACCCGAAATACATAAGTGGGTCGTTACACTTCGGTCCTCCGTGCTGCTTACAAACAACTTTATATTTTTTATTTTAAGAATTCTTTAGGTTTTTCCTAACGCAGATATTTAAATGAAACACGAACAAATGGACAGCGCTCCGGCACAGCGTTGCAATAACAAACGGTCATTGTTTATAATCAATATGACTGTTACGAGCGATGAGCATGTCTCGTGTCAATTAGATAGTGCTAAGGACAGTGGGTTATTTATTGGCCGTAGAGGAAATGTGCATGCAGTGATTTGTCGGTGGGCGCCATTGTTTAATGGGACGCTATGTGGCCGGGCGCGGAGTCGTCGAACGGACTTTAAACCCGGCTCGGACAACGGTCGCCTCGATTCATGTACTCAACGTGCACGCGTTGTTCGCACGCACTGTGCACAGTTACCTACATTACGCATGATTACAAAACAATATTGTTAAAGCATAACGATTGTTTGGATTCACGCGTACGCTGCAATTTTGCAATGAAGATGCATTTACGAATTTCAACGTATCTAGTTTTTAATTTTAGTTTTCAACGTTTCCGAAAATTTACAAGGTACTTTTTACTTCGTTCTTATGGAAATTTTAAATGCTCACTATTAGATGATACTTGACATCAGCATCGCTTTTTATTTATATATTATTAAATTTTAGCAGTTCTAAAATTTTCATTGTTTCAAATTGCTTTCATGTCGCCATCATCAGTAGTCTTCCTTAAATGTAGATAGAAGGAACAAACTATATCAAATCAGTAATCAAATGCGTATCTCCAAAGCGCCAGAATGACGTAACGAAAGTTTTTGATAACAGAAACATATTTCGTACAGAATGTGCTGTGTTTACTGTTACTTATACTTTTATTGTGCTGTGTTAAAATTATAAATATTCTGATGCATGCCGACAGAATGAGCTCATACTCGCTTACGTAAACGAACATTTAATCGGTATTTCATTTAATCTAAGCGATTGCTTATCACAATAACAATGTAATAACAATGCTGTCCAACAGCGTGACCACTTCCCTCGGCGTATTTGACGCGCAATTTGTAAATCGAGCGCCGCCGTCGGTCGGTATCGATAAAGGGCGAAAGCTGCTTTGAAGTTTATTGAAAATGGTCTGTGGAAAACCTGTAATTAGAGTGCCGCGACGTTTTCCAAGGTGTGGCGGTGCAAAGGCGCGGTGCGAAGGGGTGAGACAGGGCGGCGTTGAATGGATATATAAATAAAAGACAGCAGACGCCGCGCCCCGATGATCCGTTTTCCTTTTCATGAACTCTGCCCAATGAATGATTACTAAGACTCTGTTGTCTGTCTGTCCGTCCGAATGTCACCAGGCTGTATCTCGTGAACCGTGATAGTTTGCTATTTTAAATTTTCACATGATATGATGTAATTTGTTGCCTCTGTAACAACAAATATTAAAAAAAATGTATTTAAGTGATTTTTATAAATCAGACTTGCACTTGGCCAGTTACACGTGCTCTTTGCTCCACCATCCCCTATACAAGAAAATGCTGCGTACTTTATCTTTTTATAATTATCACATATACCATCCTCAAGAATGTTAGATCAGCTTATATCTTGGAGGATGCTCACATTTTCAAAGATTGTTGGTTAACAAATCAGTAAGTAGTGTAATATTATACATACGACATAGCTCAGACGATTAGTAAGCTGAAGTGGTGATGGGCTGGTCACACATCTCGTAGAACCGATAACCATTGGCGAAGAAAGAACCGCTAACAGTCCCAATTTGTCGTAACTCCTCATTTTCAGAACACTCATACATACTTGGTACTCCGTTACTAGCTGTGGTCGAAATCTCGAGCGATGTCCAGTTTCGCGGTCAATTGAAAGTTAGGGCCTCAAAGAAGCTTGGTATGCTTAGCAAGGTGAGACAGTACTTCATGTCAACTCAAAGCCTAAGCCACTAAAAGGCGCAAATTCGGCCCCACATGGAGTACTGCTCTCATCTGTGGCCGAGAGGCCCCCATTACCAGCTTCTCCAATTTAACCGCATTCAACGTAGAGCGGCTCGGGTTATCGACGATCAGAGTATTTCCGATCGGCTTGATCCTTTGGCCCTGCGTAGAGATATGGGACCACTCTGGGAACATATATCACGGGGTGTTCCGAGGAATTTTTTGAACATGAAAATGAAAAAAAACTAAAAAAAAAATAGAAGAAAAGTTCTTAAGATGAAATGTGAAGTTTCTAGTACCTTATGGATCATATTTACTCAATAGTAAAGTGAACGAACCAATATAGTGAACGACCATGAACAGAGTGTTACCTGTTTCAGCACAATCGTTAACCTAAAAAATCATTTGTTACAGTTTAACTTTTTCGTCTTCTTTCAACTCTTTTTGTTATCCTGATAATCTTTCTAGATTATCTAGAACTGTCTTTCTTTAGAACATCTCCTATTCCAGTGAATTCTTTAGTATTATGCAGAGCCTGTTTCAGTTCTACCACGAATTAAATCAGTGATTATATTACTTTTAGGTTATCTACTTCTACTTTTAATCCAGAACATTGCCTGTTCCAGTCAACTAGTCTTTAAAGCTAGGCAAAATTACTTTAGCTCTACTCTAGTATTAGGCATCGACTACAACTAATCTGATTTTATTCAAAGATTATTCTATTTCTAGGCTATCTACTATTTCTACTTCATAGCATCACCTGGTCCAGTCAATTCCTTAGTGCAAGGCAGAGACTGCAGGGTTATCGCCTTTTAGCGTTGTATAGTTAAGCATCAGGACTTGTTGTTGCAATAATGTACTTGCTAGTTGAAGGAAACATCATAGCCTCACACACCACCGAAGTTGATAAAGTATTTATTCTCTTGAATCTCGTCTGGTGAGAAAGTTAGCCGGGGCTTTACGCTGGTAAATACACCGCTATGTTGATTATACGGACAGAAAGTGATACAATAGTTATTAGCGCTCTTTTTCGTTCACTTCACAAATGCAGTATTATTTTGAAAGAATAATAGCTGCGTCGCCACCTGAGATGTACAAACGAATCTCGCCGCAGCAGGTAAGGCTAGTAAACTTTTGTTCTGCGGTTCACTTTCATTCAATTGTCGGGTCCTCGTTAAAGTGTTGCGTAAACAATCGCGGCCGCCATGAAGAACCGAGCACTGTGGATTTTTTCCTATTGACGGTCGCATGAATGAATAGAAACGAAAACGAAACAATAGACCTACGTACTTGACCCGTGTCGCTTCTAAGAAAACAAATTGTGAAACCGATAAATAACTGACGGCCTTGTTCGTCTCCGTCACAGGAGGGTTTCTCAATGCAGCGCGGAGCTGTTAGATTTATCGTCGGCTTTTTGTTTCGAAAGCTATTTGTTTCGAAGCGCCGAGCGGGAGTGTTACTGAATAAGACTTATATAAATACGGCTTTTAGTGTTTGTAACAGAGTCCAAGGCGTTTGTCTCGGTGGCGCTGACTAATATAAGCCAAATGAAAAGTCATTGTTTCGTTTCTTTTTTTTTGTGTGACTTACAACAATGACCCAACAAGATAAACGTGTTGAATACGTTATGAGTTATCTCGTCTGAGACGAATTTCAACTTTAAGATGTGGTAACTGTAGTAGAGTTGAAGGGTTCGCAAAATGTTATATTAAAGAATTTTTAATTTATTATTAATTATTACGTATTACAATCATTAACATTTATTCTCCGTTTTCTTTCTATTTTTAACAACTTCGTTAATGCGGATCATGTATCCGTCGATTTAGGGGCGTTTATCATATGCACATGAAATTCCCAATACTGGAAATATAACAATTGCGAAAATAATAAACTTTGAAATTTAGAAACATTACCAAAATAATAATATGATATACTAACAATTAATAAACCTTATTATTTATGGTCAACTTAAACTGTGAGAATGAGAGTGGTTTGAAAGATCAAAATATTATTTTTCTTTTGTCTCAACGTGACGAAGGAGAAAGCGGTTCATTTTTGCAGCCTAATAATTCAAATAATAAAACTTTCATAGCACGTGGGCATGCTTAGTTTTTCTCTAGTGGTCTCGCTTACCTTTCCCGAACAGATTTTCGTTTAATGGTTTATTAATAAATGTTGTCACTGTGAAGTAAATAGCCAGAAAAACAAGGAGCAGACTAAATTATAACTAATATTTTTTTTATTTACGAAAAACAAAACCGACTTCAAATATCTCGCTTTGTATTCATTTTATAATTGATTTTCAGTAGTTCTCTGTATATCTCCGGAGCCCAAGATGAACCTTTGAAATTGATATGGGACCACATGGAAGCTCTAACTTTAAAAAAAAATCATAAAAATCGTTCATCTGTTTTTGCCTCCTAGTCTGTTGAAAAACAGGCCAAATAAGAGTAATCACGCACGAAGGGTTCCGAACCATTATTTATAAAAACGGCAAAAAATCATGTCTGTTTTATGGGAGCCCCACTAAAACATTTTTTATTCTGTTCTTATTTCATAGTATCTGTGGTTATAGCGGTAACAAAAACACATTATCTGTGAAAGTTTCAACTGTCTAATTATGATGGTTCATGAGATACAGCCTGGTGACAGACGGATAGTCAGATAGACAAACGTACAGCGGAGTCTTAGTAATAGGTTCCCGTTTAAGCGTTTGGGTACGGAACCCTAAAAACGGTGTGTCCAAGCCACCTCTCACCAGACGAGATTCTAAAGTACCTATGCATGATTTGTGGTAATTATCGGAGCCTGCCCATCGTCCAACAGGCGCTGCCACGTGGTAGACAGAGCAGTGCTTCCCCGACGACCGCTCCTCTTAAGGAAGATGAAGGAAGGCTCCTCCGTTCCTTCATCTTCCTTATTGTGGCGGCATTGTGAGCGCTGCACCGCCCGGCGCAGACATGCACGCGCGCGGATCATGTTCGCGCTAAATCCGGACCCAACGCCGAGACGCGCCGCAGAAATAAACGCAAACAAATAGCGCGCCGCAGGCCGAAATAAATCTGTGTCGCCGTGTACTTTTGCCGACGCGAAATCTCTCGTTGGCGTCCGAGAAACGCATTTCGCATGTCCAACGTAAGGCATCGATTCGGTCGCGACCAGCTTATCGACAGATTCAGTTCAATGAAACAAATATGACAACGAGCTCTAGTATTAACAATGGTATACCAGATCGTTTCTATTATAGTACTATGTGTTCTTTACTTTCATTCTGAATCAATTATTTTCTGTTTATAAATTGTGACTTCAACCTATTCGAGAGACCTCTGCGAAGGTGAATGAAAGATAAGGGGCCCCAGTGAGGCGACTAAGAAGCCAGCTAACGTTATAAACATCCATCGCAAGAACTTGTTTGATCATACGAGTACGAGCAAAACCACCTTGGCGGTTTGTTTTACCGCAATTATAAATAGATTTTCTTAGTTTATATTTAGAACGAAATATATTATCTTATCGATTAAACCGTGTACCCTTGTCGTCGTGTTACAACGTACACAATGAATGTTAGAAGGATCAAATTTTCCTTAAATGCAGAAGTCGCGAAAAATTGTTATGTTTTAGCCCGCGCTCATGTTTATAAAGATTTTATCTCACTAAAATGTTCAAACTTAAATAAACTGGTATTAAGCAAATAATGTATCAGTGTTCAACCCATATAAAGCTATTTACAAAAACCAAACAGAAATAGAATTATGTTTAGAACGGCAAGAAAAAAAAATTAACACGTGATTCTTGGCTGGAAGTCAACTCCTGCATATTTGACGAGAGGTTTTCGTATCACCTACGTCATGGAAAACAACGATAACGTAACAAAGAATCATAAGAAGCGACTTTTGGCGAAGCGATTCGCCAAGCGGCATGACGCGGGCATTTGGAAACGGAAATCGCGTTCGATTGTTTGGCATTGTCACAAAAACTTGATGCCACATAGCGGGCGTAAGCCCGACTTGATCTATCACATTGTGGCCGTATATTGCCGTAGTAAATGTTATTCAAAACTGTTACCGATCGCTAGATTGTGACGACAAATGTACCCGTACGCCCCTATTCTGTTCGGAACCACGAGTGATTAGCCGACATTATTTGACACGCCAGACGTATAAATCGTGTCAGAAAGAACCGCGGATGATGGAATGGAGTATGTTACACGCTAAAGTAAACTTATTTATTTCAATATACACATTTTCAATGTGTGATAATAGTTTTTATTTCTTTAGCTCTTAAATAGAACATTGTAGGAATAGCTGTTACGATGTTTTGGACGTCATTACAAGTACGATAAATTACAATCTTACAAAAAGCATGTGCAGTTATATCTTAAGGATTAACATAAAACGTATGTTCACTTTAGTATTAATATCCAACGAGTAAATGATATTTTAAGGTCTATGTTATTGTCGATATTTAATGAGTACCTTTTTGAGTATTTGACAAGTATATAATCAAAGGAGTAGGTACCTATACCAAATTTAGTATTGTCAAAGAAGTCGAAAGGCTAGAGTTTCGGCGGATTTAACTTAATAACAAAAATGGTGCCGGTGCCGTTCCGAGGCCGACTTGCAACTGTGTAATGTAATTAGGGTAATGTTTACCGTTGCGCGGCCAAATGCATGAATCACGTGCGGCGTGGGCGCCTCCACGTCGACGACCAAATCGGTCGTGTCCTGTCGGTACGACTCGTTTCCGATCTAAGACCGACCACACTATAAATAATACCATTGACACCAGCCCAGCGCTGACGTCGCCTCTACGCGTCGGAGAAACAACGCTTAACACTAACCTTTTAAATTTCGGCTCGGCATCGATCTCTCCAGGCTTCACAACAAATGTTGTTTACCGCTTTCGAGAGCCGACGAGTTCTGTTCGGAAGCCGCTTGTTTTTCATTGAAATCGGAACGACGCGGCACTGACACATATAGCGCGCGGTAAACAAGTACTTCTCAAAAGTAAATAACTGTTATTATGTGTGTGTAAAAAAGGTAAACAAAAATTAAAAAAAATACGAGGCGCATGCAGTGGAAAATTTACTCGAAAACATTGACCTCTCTGTTTCGTTGGTTAATTCGGAGAATTTTTTGCAAAACAATTACATTTATTTTTGGTAAAGCAGAAAGTTTTAAAGTACGAAAAATGTTTAAGCAATACATTTTTCGTACTTTAAAACTTTCAGATACTTTCTTGATCTGTAGAGGAAGCTTTTAGTTTCTTTCCACTTACTTCTCAAAGTTGTTACTTCTTTCCTTATTATGTAAGGTTTTGCTAAGTATAAACTGAAACTCGGATTATTATTATCAGCTTCTCAATTTATGTAAGAGACGAGAAACGGTAGAAATTTATGTACGTACCTATAACTAAAATCCGTACTGATTATTACGGAATCCATTGAGTGCGGTGCCATCGTTGTATTACATCACCGTTCGGCGCCAGCGTCATCTAGTGAGGTAGATAGCTATGGTATGTGGCATTACAATGGAGATGTGTTAAATATAGTCTGTAAACGCCAGTCGGCCGTGTGTGCGTGCCCTCGTGATCGCGCAGGCGCCGCGCCAAAGCGGGGCGCTGCAGTGTCGGCGAGGCCGCGTCATCCATCCATCACATAGCTCATCATCCGCTAAGAATAGAACGGGCCTAGCGTTTCATTCCTCGAATTCCGCGGCCAGTAAACAATCATGTCACGCACCGTAACCGAACAATGTCGACGCCTTTCCTTGGTCCGATACGAAATAGAATTACAACATAGTTTAATGTCAGCGCCGAGATAACCTACAATCGTTGGACGTTGTTTGTAAACATTCCACTGAAGTTTCTTACCAGCTCAAACCACATCATGCGACATGGACGTGTAGAGTGTCGGAGCAAATGTAAATAACGGAGGCTAAATGTTATGGGCGAGGGGCGCGCAGCGCGTTCGGAGGACGGGCAAAAGTCGTCGTCGAAATGAGGCCGCTCCTCGCTTGAATCGGGCTTCGGAGGAATGCGAGTGAGTGGCATCATTAATAATTTTGTAAACAGCGCCGGCGCATGCGTCATGCGCATGTCGGCGATGCATCGGCGGGGCTTTGCGTGCGTCGTCGTAAACAACAAACAAGGGGCATCGCACGCGGCGCCCTCCGAGAATATTCCGCTGGACTCTGCCACGCGCTGTGTTGCACTAACCCCTAGTGCTTACAAAGCAAAGTTTATGCTTACAAAAGTTTCAGGAAAAGGATTTTTTAAACACTTATTTTATGTGAAGCGAATACTTTGAGTGCATTATGAAATTAAACTATATTTAATAATTAAAATAATTTAATATGTAATCGCATAAATACAAGAAATTACTTTTAAAGACATTATTAAATTTTACACAAATTACAAAAAATGGGCGACTACTAATTAATATTATCAATTCAATATATTCTACATTTACGTCGAAGTAATGCTAGATAAGGATGTCATGAAATGATGGGTTCATTCATCATTCAAAAGATCGACAAGGTAGTGTTGCAGACACTACCTTGATGCCGATCATTTAAGGACTATTGAATGGTAGACGTGTTCAGGGGTCAACTAAATGACAAAATGCCTTAGCGAATAAAGTGGGCAGAAGTATTCGTCATGCAGTCCACGACGACAAAGCTTACGAATGTACCTAGTGGCGACCGGCTATACATGGTCCCAATATAGTGAAAACGGGCTACAAAAAAAAAACATAGAAATAACTGTGTAATTCTTTTTTTTGAACAACCAATAAATTGATAAATATATTTCAAGTGATAACACCGTGAAGAATCTTCACGTCGAGACAACTGCTAATGTATAAGTACAGAGAACATAGAAAACATTAAATAAAAAGTTGTTTGTTTCTCAATGAATTCCCCATCCTTAAAGGGGACAGCCCTGCGTGTAGAAGGAACGCGGTACACCGGAAATATCCCGCCGCCCGTAATGCGCCGCCACGCTCGTATACTGACACGCATTTAGGGAGCGCTAAGAACAAGACAAACAGCTGCCGTTATGATAAATAGCTTCGTATCGCATCACTATCACACGTACATATTAACTGAAAGCATTAACAATATAACAATGTAGAAGAAGGCCAATGTCTAACATTGGCCTCATAAAGAATTAATCTTCAATTTTTTTAGTGACCAAACCATTAACAACGAATTAAACTTACCAAGTTGTTATGGTCACTTTTGACCATTAAAAACAAGCACTGAAACGTTATTAAGCAAAAGCTAATAAGCTTTAAATAAATTGTCGCGACAAAAACAGATATGGTTAAACAAATTTTTCACGTCTAATTGATAGATATATACACGGTTTATCGTGTTTTTTGTGTCACTTAGTTTGGCGCGGTGGTGTCAGCAACCTAGTACGGTCATTCACCAGTGTGGTGAACCGATCGAAGGTCGTAGAATCCTTTTTAAACGATGTTTCGTTCGGGTATCTTCGCAGGACTCCTTGATATATATTTCACCATTAAATAGTATCTTTTACCGTAATTAACAATTGATTTAGAAATATTCACTGAATGAGAAGACCGACTGTGGTAGAATTTTGTGGTCTCCAAATGCAAGTAACTGTCACCAAAGCATTTATATGGATAAATACTTCGTTATTATCGTAACTGCAGCTTACTTAGCTTACATCTGAGTGGCAACAGTTCGTAAAATAGCATTGAAAAAGGACCTGTAAATTTCACAAATTAAAATGAATCACGAACGTAAACAGAGCTAATAAGCACGTAAGTAAAATTAAATTGTAGGTTTGTGAAATAGAGTTTCAGAAAAATTATAAACAGACCAGAGATAGTTAAGCACAAAGAGATATACACGGTTAGATGCAAAATGGTAATATATCCATTAACTGATATTCGATCATTGTCATCATTCATCATCATCATCATCATTTCAGCCTGTTTGAGTCCACTGCTGAACATAGCCCCCCCCCCCCCCCCCCCCCCCCCCCCCCCCCCCCCCCCCAGACTTGTTCGATCCCATTCGATCATTGTAATAATTATAAATTACTCTTTACTTTAGGTCTCCAAATACCATCTCAACGACGTTAAAATTGACGGGAAAATATATTGTAGTGTAAGGCAAGGTGGTGAAACAATGTCTTTCCGTCCGACGATAGTGAAGTTGTCTTCAAAGCAAGGGTGAATAGAAAAGTATAAGACATAGGGCTTATATCAACTACAGCATCGTTATCTATCATCAGGTAGGATAATGGTACGGTAACATTCAATTCGTTGTAAAAATACTGATTGAACAGATTATGACCTTTTTAAGCTTTACGAAAACACGAGGAAGTTTTATTGTAAATGATCATTGTAACCACATGTGCAAATGACTCCGTGGCGCAATTGCCAAGGTATTGGCTTCGGCGTCGGGGTCGTGGGTTCGATTCCCACACGGGACAACTATTTATGTGACCCACAGATAGTTGTTTCGTATCTGGGTGTTTGTCCACGTGAGATTTATGTTTGTAAAACGTCCTTACAACGCAGGATAATGTTCCTAAAGTAAGGGCATGTTTAGAAAAAAAAAGAAAGAAAGATGTAATAAAGTAAAGTAGAGTAACAGCCTATACATGTCCCACTGCTGGGCAAAGGCCTCCTCTATACAGAGGGTATCAGGGCATAGTCCACCACGCGGCCCCACTGCGGGTTGGCGGACTTCACATATCATCGAAATATATTCTTTTTGTTACTATTTCGAAAATATGCAGGATTCCTCACGATGCTTTCCTTCACCGCGGAGCACATGATGTGAAAGATGATCAATTGCAATAAAACTTCTAGAGAGATTGTAAAATATTCATAAACCACGACATAAATAAAACTTCAACGGCAATTCCAATAATCCTCTACTCTACAACTCCTTACCTCTCATTAACAATTTTTAGATTAAACCAAACTATTAAATTACCTCAAAAAAAAGAGATCACGTGTATATAATCAACGATTTAGAATAATACTGCAACCGATTTACCTGAGCGCTCAACCTGATATAACAAATCTTGCATATATGTGCTAATAGAACAGCTGTAGATGGCTAAAATTGTTATATGGCTGTTATATACCACTCAAACGCAGACGATCATTAATTTAAATATTCAGGTAATAACAAATAACATTCAAAACAATTAATAATTCAAGGTAACTATGTTACTTTTACGACGATACCAAAACTTAACTGGGGCAGAGTATTTTGTTCATTGTTAACCACAATAGACAAATTAGTGAAAACTTCCATTGAATTATTGTTTATGGAATTGCCGATTAATGTTTGGCTTATTTGTAATTAAAAATATTTTGACAGATTGTCAGTTAGTTACCAGCAAAAGTATACCTAAATAATGGTGTTAATGAAAAATATAAAACGTGCAAACCACAATTTTGCTGTGAAGATTTCTCTGTATAAATCGCAATGATCAACCACCGATCAGGGTAGCCTTCCATCACGACTTACACAATTCTTAAAGATTATACGTGGCGTAATACAATAAGGAAGGATGCATATTATGAACAATGTGAATTGACGTGGGAAACATTATAAACGATGATTTGTTACTAGTCTTCTAGTAGGTTCTGTTGTTGCGTGAATAAACTATCCGAGGAAAGTTCCACGGACCACAGAAAGCTGGCGAGAAGTTGATGTATTCATACTATTGAATTCCATCGAGTGAAATTTCATATGCTAAATATTGGAGGTAACAAACTAGCGAGGGGCTTAGCTAATGTTAAGCAGCAGGCACTAATATGACCACCTCCGTTCACGGCGATTCGTGACCCCAGAGCAAGTGCTAAAGTTGCGGAATTTGAATTTTCGGCTTCCCACATTAATTGTGAATGCCCATTAATATCATTCATCAGGTCAACCACCTCCTCGTTTACTAAATCCCTTGTAAAAGAAACAATCGCATCAGTTTGTTTTGTCATATAAAACATCACACAACGTACTATAAGAGCTGTCTTTAATTAGTTTGTTTTCACATAAGATCGGTTTATCGACTGCTCTGACTTGATCAGTCATAACTCTTGTTCCACTGACATTTTATTTGTTTACAATGTTTATTAATATGCCACTTTAGGATAATAAAAAACTTGTTTAATAACCTGTAGGCCCAATTGCGATAAAAGCAACATTAATATATTACGCTCATATTTTTATTTTATTTGTAAGATAAAAAGAGCCATAGGCTGTAAACAATTTATATTACAACATTTTAATGTTGTCACTGGCTGTTATTTACTTTTCCAGTTATAACATAAAATACATTTAATGGAGGGCTAGAGAATATACACTGAAAATCAATTTAATTCACTACATTTTTACTTGTTCTTAGATTTAACCGTAAGTGAAAGATTTTATTAACATTAATATAACATTAAACCCATACTATTTTATTAAACCAAAGTTGCGATACATCAAAAACTATGCGAGTATTCTAAAATTATGGTGTCTTTTTATTTGATAGGGATATATGAATGCGGTTCCATACTTAAAGACAAAGCTTGCTTACTTGCAATTACAAGTAATGGGTTTCGAGAGAAAATGATGCTATGCTTATCTTAACCGTCATATTCCTTCTTATAAAATAAATTAAAATTCCAAAGTTTTATTTAAGGAAAACTCATAAATAGTAGTACGGAATAAACAAATATTTAAGAATTGAGCCCTGGTTACCTCACCTAGCAGAAGGCCAGAATATAACACGTCCTCCTCATTCTGGTGTCGTGGTTTAAGTAATTACGACAAATGCGACTATTTGCCCAAAAGTAAAAGCTGCTGCGTGGCCCCTACCACAGTAAAATTCTAAGAAGCAACTTACATAATGTTTAAAACCAGTGATACAAGTTTTCGAAAAAGGAAAAATAGAATAAACTATTCATGAATTTCTGAAAATTATGTCAATGCGACGACTGAACTCAATATTCTTTATTCATGCTGCTTGGAATTTTAATGGATTGTAAATTTTTGAAACATTTTAAGGGTCCAAGTAACTAAATACTATAACAAATTTTACATTCCTTTTTCTTT